ATAATCTGATTATTTATTTATCAATGACAAAAACAGTGAAGTCTGTGGGAGCCATGAGTGGTAAGGACAATTTGTTATTATAATTTGATTATTTATTTATCGATGACACTATCGTACTTTAATACCAGTATCTTCGGTTTGTGACCGATAAGGTTCTGTAAGAAAAATAATTAGTTGTTTTAGTGAAATGCAGGAAATATTATAGACTTTTCAAAACATTCTAAATAATCCAGTGTTAATCAAACATTTTCCACTTCTTATAAGCTGTTCAAAAATGTGTGCACGTTTTACTCACGTGCCACTTTGAATTGGCGGGAAACAGTGTGAGTGACGACATAGATTTGAGTAACTAATGTTCAATACGTTACTATACAATCTTCCTTTATCTGAGTTTTTGCTAGGCCTAACATTGGAGTTGAACCTACAAAGAGATGATTATCTTGATAAGATAACATCTACATTCGGTGCTCGTGTTGTTGTCCATGATCCTCGTGTCATCCCGCTACCTGAGAGCGAGGGTATCGATATTAATCCTGGATTACAAACATCCATAATGATTTCCAAAGTAAGTTCATAGAATAATCTGGTAATAAATAATTGTTTAATTAATAATGTATTTTTAATTAGTAATTAGTATTTTTGTAACTTATCAAACTATTTTCTGATATTAAGTTTCAGCTTATAGATTAAAAGTTATATGATATATTTTCTTCTTATTTAGATTAAAAACCAAAATAATTTTCACCTAAAGATTATCCATACATTTTGAATGTTCAAAACTAAGCTCTTCAAACGAAAGATTCTTAAACACTAAAAATAAAAAAAGATAAGATAAAACCATATAAAACGCAGGAATATTAACACTTTTAAAACGTTAACTTTGTAAACGTTATTTTAGCGTCTCGACTAGTATTATGTCTGTTCCAGCAGGCCTGATCCTAGATTATTATTAAGCCTACTGTATTAAGCCTAAATGTATTGTACTGCATATAAAGTAGCATTAAGAACAGAGTTTTGCCTTCTGAGATATTCAGTTTAGCTGACGAGTTATGGTATTGACTGAAAAGTCTCCTCGGCACCAACACGTGGCAGACAAAAAAATAGATGTAAAATTTGTTTAGTTTTTCTCACGACTAGTTCCTGAGCTCTGGGATGATCTTTATCACTATTATTAGATATAAAGGTTAGATTCACTGTTGGAAAATGTATATTCATAGTAGAATATAGGGCCGGCCTTAATAACATATTACGCTGTCAAACGTCAAGTGTCCCCTCAGCGAAGGCCAAATAGTGCGCTATCAAAGTCAAGTGTCCCCTCAGTTTCGTCACCCATAAGAAGATAAAATAAACGGTGCTTCCACTATTCCCATCAGGTCAAAAACCTCTTTACATTTTTATCGTAATTCCTTAAAATAACAGTTACTCAACTTGATCCTTATCCGTAAAAATGTAGGAGGGGTTCTCCCCACTAGATTGAAACTGTCGTATTTTGATTACCCTCCAGAGTAGCTTTCATCTTATTAAGGCCGGCCCTATATTCTACTATGAATATGTTATTAAGGCCGTCCCTATATTCTGCTATAAATATGTTATTAAGGTCGGCCCTATATTCTACTATGGTCAAGTGTCCCCTCAGGGAAGGCCAAATAGTGCGCTATCAAAGTCAAGTGTCCCCTCAGGGAAGGCCAAATAGTACGCTGTCAAAGTCAAGTGTCCCCTCAGGGAAGGCCAAATAGTGCGCTATCAAAGTCAAGTGTTCCCTCAGCGAAGGCCAAATAGTGCGCTATCAAAGTCAAGTGTCCCCTCAGGGAAGGCCAAATAGGGCGCTATCAAAGTCAAGTGTTCCCTCAGCGAAGGCCAAATAGTGCGCTATCAAAGTCAAGTGTCCCCTCAGCGAAGATTAAATAGTGCGCTATCAAAGTCAAGTGTCCCCTCAGGGAAGGCCAAATAGTGTTGATAGCGCACTATTTGGCCTTTGCTGAGGGAACACTTGACTTTGATAGCGCACTATTTGGCCTTCGCTGAGGGAACACTTGACTTTGATAGCGCACTATTTGGCCTTCGCTGAGGGAACACTTGACTTTGTTTACCAACAAGGTATAAGCCTACTCTATATTCTTACTATTACAGGTAACTTTCGAACGTCTGCCCGCCCCCTACAAAGACAGGTGTCGTAACTACAAAGATGATGATTCACACGGACGAGCCAAACGGACCAATCGGCAATCGGTATTGAAAGTTTGATGTTTTTGTGATGGAACAAAGAGCTTTTGCACATTGTATTGACAGTACATAATAACCTAAACTAGGGGGTTCGATTCCTCACGGTGGACACAGCAGATAGTCTAATGTGGATTTACTCCAAGAAACAAACAAACAAACAAATGATAATCAGTTATAGTTATCTGGACCATCTTATAAGGATATCATATCACATTATAGTTTTCAGGACCAGCTTATCAGTATATCATACAATATTATAGTTATCAGGACCAGCTTATCAGTATATCATGTCACATAATAATTATCAGGACCAGCTTATCAGTATATCATA